CATACTCCAGCTTGGGCCGCAGGGTTACACCCTGTCTCAAACAAAACGCAGTTCCACAGGCATATGGGCCACGTTTCCAGTGCTTGGTGGCCACGTGGGGCTGGCGTGTGGAACCTCAGAGCTCAAGAACACGTCCGTCATCTGGAACGTTCTCCTGGACTGCCCTGGGCTGCAGGTGGACACGACACGGTCATTCGATGCCTGAGTGTCGGCACAGCCTGTCGTGAAGACCACCTGGGCTCCCACCTCACGGGGCCCCGTGGCAGGGGGTTTCCCTTCCTCACATCTCCCCTGGGAGGAGGCCCAGGGCCACGCTGCGGGGCTGTGTCCCCTCCCTGGCCCCTTCCAGGCTGGCAGCTGCCACAGAAAACACCCGATTAAAACCTTTATTTCAGCAAAATACACGTGCCTGTGAAAAACTACACGGTGGCTTCCGAGAGGCCCCACTGTGTACCTCAGCCCCAGGTGGCCACACCTGGTGTTCTGGAAAAGGGAGTCTAGGGCCAGTCTTCAGGCCCTGCCGGACTGCACCCTGGACACCGCACCAGACCCCAGCCTCCGCCCCCATCCACAGCTCCCAGAATGGTCTCCGGAGTCCCTGCAACAGACCTGTGAGAGGCGGGGCAGGGCCTGCCCTCCCTGTGATGACCGGGGCATGCGCCGGGCAGGGACAGCTTCCTCCATCCACACAGCCCTGTGGGCACCAACAAGGCCACCGCGACTTCACAAGACAGCAGTGTTCCTCAGCTCAGCTGGGCCGGGGAGCAGGGGAGAGCGCAGGGCACACCCCGTGGCCCCGAGACCCTTGTGCTCCTGGAAGCTTCTGGGAGGCGGCGCGTGCTGCCAGGACAACCAAGTCCAGGTGCTCTCAGCAGCGACTCCAGGACGGGACCCCAGGACGGCGCATAGAGCCCCCCTGGAGGGACAGGAGCAGGCAAGAGAGAAGCCACCTGTGGTCCCGGCCCCGCCCCAGCTCACACGAACTCAGGCCGCCTCTCCCTGCAGGAACCCAGCGCGATCCGCCCGCCACGGAGCCTCATGGTGGGCAGTGGGGCCTGCAGCACGTTGTTGGACTGGTTTGTGTTGAATCCTGAGAGCTGCCGGGCCGGGTCGTCCTCGTCCCCGTCCTCCCGGGCGGTGGCCTCCAGCTGCTCCTCGCTGCCGCTGTGGCTACCAGAAGCCTCCTCCAGGCTGGCCTCACTCTGCTGCTGCTCCAGGAGGCTGAGGCGCCGCAGGGCACTGGCCTCCGAGGACAACAGCAGCTCGGAGGCCTCCTCTAGGTCCGAGTCCGAGTCGTTGGACACAACTCGGGATTCTGAGAAAGGGAGACAGAGATGGAGGAGAGGCAGAGATGGGGAGAGACAGATGCAGGAGAGACAGAGGACAGGTGGGGAGAGACAGACAGGGAGAGAGATGGGGAGAGAGATGGAAGAGACAGATGGGGAGAGAGAGATGGAGAGAGAGATGGACAGACAGATGGGGAGAGAGATGGAGGAGAGAGAGATGGAGGAGAGACAGATGGGGAGAGAGAGATGGAGAGACAGATGGGGAGAAAGATGGAGGAAAGAGAGATGGAGAGAGAGATGGACAGACAGATAGGGAGAGAGATGGAGGGGAGAGAGATGGAGGAGAGACAGATGGGGAGAGAGAGATGGAGGAGAGACAGATGGGGAGAGAGAGATGGAGGAGAGACAGATGGGGAGAGAGAGATGGAGGAGAGACAGATGGGGAGAGAGACACAGAGAGACAGATGGGGAGAGAGATGGAGGAGAGAGAGATGGAGGAGAGATGGGGAGACAGACGGAGGAGAGAGAGATGGCGAGAGACAGATGGAGGAGAGAGATGGAGGAGAGACAGATGAGGAGTGACAGATGGAGGGGGGGAGAGACGGAAGAGAGATGAGAGAGACAAGGGGAGGGACAGAGAGAGGGGACAGAGAGAGGGGACAGGGAGTGAGGAGGAGGAGGAGAGAGATGGGGAAGAGACAGAGATGGAGGAGGAAAGGAGAGAGGGGTGTTGATAGAGTCTGGCTCTGTGTCCCCACCTAAACCTCATCTTGTAGCTCCCCTAATTCCCACGTGTTGTGGGAGGGATCTGGCGGGAGACGGCTGAATTGCGGAGGAGAGTCTTTCTGGGCTGCTCTCGTGACAGTGAATGGTTTTCACAAGATCTGATGGTCTAAAAAGTAGAGTTTCCCGACACAAGCTCTCCCTTTGCCTGCCACCATCCATGTAAGACGTGACTCGCTCCTTGTTTTCCGCCACAATTGTGAGGCCTTCCCACCTACGTGAACTGTAACTCCACTAAACCTCTTTCTTTTGTAAATTGCCCAGCCTCAGGTATTTCTCTCTTTTTGAGACCAGAGTCTCGCTCTGTCGCCCAGGCTGGAGAGCAGTGGCACGATCTCGGCTCACTGCAACCTCCGCCTCCCGGGTTCAAGCAATTCTCCTGCCTCAGCCTCCTGAGTAGCTGGGACTACAGGCACCTGTCACCACACCCGGCTAATTTTTGTATTTTTAGTAGAGACCGGGTTTCACCATGTTGGTCAGGCTGGTCTCAAACTCCTGACCTCAAGTGATCCACCTTGGCCTCCCAAAGTGCTGGGATTACAGGCGTGAGGCACCGCGCCTGGCCTCAGGTGTTTATCAGCAGTGTGAAAACAGACTAATACAGAGGTACCGTAACTAGATGCGGCACTCAGGACTGGCTGCCTCTGACAGGTGGCGCCAGCCCCACCTGAGTCAAACCCCCAGCCCCGTGCCCTTCTCTAGAAAATGAGGCTGCTGCAGGAAAGGCACTTAGCCTGGCCAGGTGCCTGGTGCACCTGGAGCCTTGCACAGCGTCAGCCGCACGTTCACATTGCCGGTTTCTGAGAGCGGGGTAGGCGCCTCAAAAGGCACTGCCTTGCCTCTGTTTGCAGCTGGTTAAAAGAAAATGAACGAGTAGCTCACAGGTGTGGTCTCCGTGGCAGACAAAATCCACAGAATGTGCTGCGCCGTGGACCCTGCCACGTGTGCACAACTAGGTCATGGCACCTGCGCCCACGGGTGGCACACGCCGGCCTCCCTTGGGGCTGTTCGGGCAGCCACACACTCACCTCTGCACCCGTCCTCCGCAGTCTCCTGCAGGGGGTACACCACCCCCTCGCCCGCCTCCAGGTACGGCACCTGGATGACCACCTCAGCTCGCTGGCTGGATGACTCGTCCTGCAAGGGCAGAAAGGAAGTCAGGGAGGGGCCAGGGCTCCATTTTCCATGTTACAAATTAACAAACACACCACACAGCCCCTAACAGCTACTGACACCCGCTGCTGCCCAGGCTGTGACCACACTGGCCGTTCCTACAAGGAACATGGGATGGGAATTTCTGAAATTCCGCTCCTCTCGCCACCCACGTCTGCTCCTGTCCCCATCTGTGGTTTCTCCCGAGAGCTTCAAGAGCACAGGACAGAAAGGCCATACGCAGCACAGACACCGTCAGAGCTGTGGGCCCCACTGTCCTGAGACTGCACCCCAGGCGGTCTGTCCTCAGCCAAGAGCAAACCCGGGAAACTGCACCCACTAAACGCCCAGGGAAGATGGATTGAAAAAATACGAGAGGCCAGGCGCGGTGGCTTACACCTGTAATCCCAGGACTTCAAGAGGCCAAGGGGGGGTGTGGATCACTTGAGGTCAGGAATTCGAGACCAGCCTGGCCAACAAAGTGAAACCCCATCACTGTTAAAAATACAAAAATTAGCCGGGCATGGTGGCGGGCGCCTATAGTCCCAGCCACTCGGGAGACTGAGGCAGGAGAATCGCTTGAACCTCGGCAGCGGAGATTGTGGTGGGCTGAGATCGCCCCATTGCACTCCAGCCTGGGCAACAGAAGTGAAACCACAACTCCTAGACAGGAAACTCTGAAGCAGGGAATTGACCTCGCAGCGGAGTGCAGTGGCAGCTCGGGTGGGCTGTGGACACCTGGGCTAGCGTGCTGCTTGTGGCTGCAGGCAGCACCGGGGTGGGAAACGGGGAAGGAGGGTGCCTGAAGGATGAGGCCCAATGCCAGCCCCAAGGGAGAGTGGAGGGGCCGCCGCAGAGCCTTTGCACCTCTGCCAGATTCAGTGCAGACTTCGCGCAGTTCTTTGCATGAAAGACAAAAAGACACAGGCCTCTCGAACTACCCCGTCCAAACTAAATTATCTCCCTGTGGTTCCTTGGGCTTCATCCCACAACGACTGTCCCCAGCAGCGCCCCCTGCTCCCCAAGCCCCGAGTGGACAGCCCTGGTCAGGCCCACACCCTCACCTGGCCCCCGGGGGTCTCCTCTGGCTCCTCCTCGAAGACCAGCCCATAGTGGACGATGAGAGTCTCGATGACGCGGGCCTGGTGGGGGTAATCCACCAGGGAGGAGAGGGACACGGTGGCCTCGGTGGGCCGTGGCCGAAGCAGCGTGGGCCCGAACACGATGCCCAGGTTCCCAGGGGTCATCTTGTTGTCCTGCTCCACCTCCACGATCCTGCGGGGCGGGCAGGGCCAGGTGCTGAGCGGCTCCCGGGACCCCGAGCCCTCCACCCCATATGCCGGGCCTCACCTGCGTAGGTGCCGCAGCAAGTACTGCAGCGAGGCCCGGTTCTCGAGCGGCAGGTCCCGCAGGAGCTCCCGCAGCCGACCTGCCATGGCCACCGCCACTGCCTCGCTCTCCGAGCCGTCCTGACGGCCCCGGGACGCCGCCTTGGCCTCGGCCTCTGCCTTCAGGCTGTCCTTAGCCAGCCCCACGAGCTCGTGGTAGAGGCGGAAGGAGATGAGCGGCTCGGGAAGCTGTGCGGTGTCAAGGGTCAGCAGGTGTTGGTGGGCCCGGCCCAGCCCCCACGCGTGCCTACCACGTGCGCAGCCTCAGCCCCCACCCCC